TTTCTTTGACTTGAACTTTGACCCTTTGTGTGTGAGTTTCTTTCTTATTGGTTGATAATTTTTTCTATTTCGATGTGTCTATTGATTGATGATTCACTGGAATGCCAAGCTTCTAAAAATTCTCTAGCATTCTTGTTGTTTCCTCTGTCTAATATTTAAACGCTGGTTGTCCCAGTCGAATTGATGTCCATGGTTGTCTGTGTGTAGTGATATGAGGGAGCGGATATCATGTCTTTTGACGACTAGCTTATGTTCGTGGATACGAAGATGAAGGGGACGTCCACTTTGGCCAATGTAGTGTTTTTCGCAGTTGTTACAATTTATTTTGTAGATGATGTTGGTTTTATCTTCTTTCGCTGTTGAGTCTTTTGGTTGACATAGAATTGAGTGAAGCGACTTTGTTGGTTTGTGTACGACGTCAATTCCTAAAGGTTTGAAGAGTCTTGTAGTGATTTCTGAGATATCCTTTATATATGGTAAGGCGATTTTCTTTGTGTTTTCCTTGGTGGCTTTTGTTTTGGTAGGTTGGCTTGGGGGTATATGTCTCTTGATGAAATTCCGTGGATATCCATTCTTTTGGAAGACGTCCATGAGATACTTTTCTTCAATTTTCCTTAAGGTGGGAGTGCTGCAATGAGTCCTTGCTCTCTTGAATAGTGTTTGTATGCAATTCCTTTTGTGTGTTATTGGGTTGTTGCTGTTGCAATCGGGACAATGTTCAAATATTAGACAGAGGAAACAACAAGAATGCTAGAGAATTTTTAGAAGCTTGGCATTCCAGTGAATCATCAATCAATAGACACATCGAAATAGAAAAAATTATCAACCAATAAGAAAGAAACCTCACACACAAAGGGTCAAAGTTCAAGTCAAAGAAACAGTCAGTCCCAATACAAGTAACCTAGAGGATGTGAAAACACACATAAACAACCAATCACGTCCAAGGTCACCAGGAGAGATGATTAATAAACTCGTGGAGAAATCTAAAAGCTCACTTGAACAAATTGAAGTATGCGCTGAAGATGTCACCCAGTAGGGTGATGAAAGCTTCGCAAATTAACCATCCAGCTCAGAGAACAAAACCAAATCAAAATCATCCACCTGAGCTACAAATCTTCTCTATCATATCTAAGAGCCTGTTGCTCAACAAATATGCAAGAGAAAATGCAGATGGACCGGGCATACGCTGAGGAGGCTATCGTATGACATCGCGTGTAATGCAGACCAGTCGTCAGTGTGAGGGTGACATGCAGGAGAGGAGGGATTATGGTCAATCGTGGACTCAGCTGAAGAAGACAGAACAAAGTTGAGATATGATGTTGAAGCCCTATGTTCCACTCGGAACCCAAGGGAATAGTAAATAAACAAAGACTAGTTGACCATGGTGTTTCGTCTGGAGACTCGTTCTGGCAAAAGCAGACAAAAACAAAAAAAACCCACTAACACTCCGTTACAAAATATTTAGCGATGGGCTTATTCAGTTGAGTGCTGCTATAACCTATATAGACGGGACAAATCAGCTCACTTCAGCTGTAATATTTTTTGGCGAAGACCAAACCTAAATTCTAGAGTAATCCAGTTTTGTATCTAGTCATGTGAATTTTCAGCTGGGGTGTTTTGAGCAAGTCCAGTTACTGTTACAACAGCAACAGAAGTAGTCAGTATAAAGACTTTGAATTGAAACTAACTGAAGTGCTTACTAGTAATTTCTCTTTGTGGAGTCATTCCCATACTAAGAGTATTGATTCTATCATCCAACCACAGCAGTACAGAGCAATTTATCAGTCAATGCATTATTTGTGCAGGTGGTTTTCAATGGATCCATGAACATTGATGTTTAGAAATCAGATGGATAATGTAGATACCGGCAAAGTTAAACATTAAGCACCTCTAACTATCAACCAGCGAATGACCTCGAACGCATCAATCGCGTGAAGAAGGAAAGTTTGTACATGGAACACACATATTTATGGAAAAAATGCATAAAAACTGTATACAAGTGTTACAGGGGATACCTTCCTCTTACATGTGAAAAAATAGCTCTCAGTTTAAGGTGGGAGAATCAACAAAGTGTAATTCTTTTGAGGGGGAAATTTATTCTGATAAAGTTTCATAGTGTTATACAGTAATATTAACAGGGCAATAAATTGTGCTCGAAACGTCATCAGTAAATATTACTGTATAGCACTGTGGGACTTTATCAAAATAAATGTTATCCACAGTGGAATTATAATCTAGCACAGTATTCTATTCTTATATCAACAGAGTGATTTAACCACATTCAATGCAGGTAATTATTTAAGTCTTCTAACCCTAATCTTTTCTGAACCTAACGGGAAAATAGCCCTAAACTAACTCGAACCAAACCTACTGTCACCTTTGTTAGGTTAACTTAACCCTAATTTGTCTGTGGTTTAAATAGTAACTTAATCTTTCCCAACCCTAAGCTGAAACTTGCCGGATATCCCATTTAGTAACATAAAACTTCAACTAGCATATTTCATTGATGATGACAACAGCTTGCTCAGTGAGTGTTTCAAGGTCATCAGTGAGGTCGCACTCCATTTGCAGTTAGTGGTGCTTAAAGTTTAACTTGGCCTAGAAACCAATATAATGCATCAATATCTAGTGAAGACACTATTTGCGCAAAGCGAAGAGATATGATCAATTCAAATCAAGAGATTTTCACTCCAGTTTCTCCTATGTCAGAGGAGTAAGAAGAATTCAAAGTAGCTATCCAGGTAGTTCAGATGCAAATGAAAAAGTTGTACTGCGCAGTAATCCTTATACGTCAGACAGTTACTGAATGAATATAGTAGAGTGCTTTACAAAATTTCTATGACTTATTTTGGGTTCGATAACAGCCAAGATAGCTTTCACCAGTCATTGGAGTTTACAGCACTACTCTATATTAATTGATGTCTTGAAATAATAGCAATAACAGAGATGTCTAAAAATATAATGAGAGCTCCGCGTTCACCTCAAAGAATACAACAAGAAGAAAAAACGAAGTAACGTGTTGTGTTAAAATACATAACACGCAAACAGTATTCCCGACCGGTAGCTGCCTTATGTCGGCGGTCCGGCTTTAGAAAGCCCACCAGCAACGGACGTGGTCTGGGGTTCGGTCCGCGGCCGGCGCATATCCTTACCTCCCTTAGCCGGTTGTAAGCCTGACAAAGTGGGAAGGTTGGGTGTGAGGCTAGCAGACCCAACCCATGGAGGAAACACCAGTGCTACTGAAACCTCAAAGCTCTAGCTTCAAGCCCCATGCTCTACTAGGAACGTAAAGGAATGAATGAGCCAATATGTTGACACGTGATTGTCAGTCAGGGTTGTATACCACAATGACCTAACAAGCTACACTGGTTGGTCTCATCATACCGAAAACGTTGTTTGGATAGCGGTTAGACTAAATCCAGTTACCACTATAGTGTTGCAGTTTACACTATATCCAAGGGTCCATAGATAATCGTACTGCTGAGGAACAAGGATGCATAAATGAAATTTATGAATTACTATGTTGTTAGTTAGATAACTGACCCTTTTATTATCGACTGTTCGTAATCTGTGATGACAATACCTGGCACAATATAATCACCAAAAAGATGCGCCACACAATAGTAATAAAACAACATATGGGGAAAAATAAGGTAAAAAATGAATAAAGTATTTCGTCGTGGAAAAAAGCAAGTTGTATTCGACAAGACGAGACGGCATTCGTCAAATTATTGTCAGGAAGGAAAAAAGAAGAGAACTGCAGCATGTTCTTCGCCATTGATTGCGATTCTCAACCACATATCTAATAACTTCTCGAGCCACCAATTCGAACTATCCTCTGAGGCCCGAACCAAGGAGTCGTGATACCAACCGATGCTAAGCCAACACAAATATCCTTCATCCCACAGCACCACGTCACTAGGCTGACCACCTCTCTCTGCTTTCCCATGCAGTCCCAAGACTAGCGAACAGCGATTGTTACGGTAGCTTCTAGGATAACATTCGTAGCACATGTCCAGTCCATCGAATACGGTGTTTCCAAAAAACGGCACTCAATGAATGCTGATCTCTGTCGTGTTCAAACACACGCTGTCGTACCTCAGAATTACTCACACGATTATGTCATCGAACGCAACCAACTCTACGGAGATACCAAACATCCTATGCTCAGTGACGCCAGGTCTCGCAGACGTAGCACAGGACTAAGCGCACTGATGTGTTGTAAACCCCATGTTTGACAGCTAGGCTAACGTTGTGACGGCACCAGAAGTGGCTCCAATTGGCTATCACTATACAGTTAGAAATGTCGTCCATTATACTTCCGCCAACACACACACAACACCCCCCCCCAGATTCACGAACTTATCGGCAACTTTAAGCGATTCACCTGCAAGGCTGGATGCAGGAAAAGGCTCTTGCCAATCTTGTAAAAGTACTTCGCGATTTGCAAAGCACATACCACCATACTTACAGACACTGATCATCAACTGATTAAGTGCGATTTAAACAGTCTGTATCCTATAGCAGAGTACGACAATATTAATATATGTGTAAAACTTGGGCACTGTGGTAGAAAGTAATTGCATATTAGTTTGTTTATTAGCTGTATCACACAGTGAAACAGTATTATATACTGGATGACGTTTAGAACACAATTTATTGTTCATAATCAATAAATAATAATTGAACAATAAATTGTGTTCTAAACGCCATCCAGTATATAATACTGTTTCACTGTGTGATACAGCTAATAAACAAACTAATATGGAATTACGACAATATAGTCTGCATATTCGAGTTCAAAAAAAGTCTTTCTCCAGGAAGCACCACCACCATGGGTGTGACTGGCCTCGCGTAGTTGCCCTCATGGGCTTTGTGGTCACACAGTACATTACTAACTAATAGGCTCCATCTGTTCCAGGTACACTATGGAGAAATGACTAAACCACCACAGTGCTGTGGGCAGCCGAGATACATACATACGAAAAGGAAGACAGAGAGAAGAAACGAATGAATTTTATTGATTCATTCATTTTAAACAATCTCATATCATCATTTCATACTGGAGTTTTTTTCTTTTTCTTCTCGAATATCTGAAATATAATAACAAATAATAATTAAATTTAAAAAAAAACACACAACAACAACAGGAAGCAGAACGAAGGGGAACACGAGTAATTTAAATTTACATGTTTAATACCCAGGTTATTAATATGAAGGAATAGATCGTCCTCGCTGTATATATATGTATATATTATATATATAAAAGGCGTTAGATTTCGTGTTTTGTATTAGTGATATAATGACTGACATTGGCGTGTAATTTGTTAACAGGGGTTCCGGGCGGCGGTTGTGTGTGTGTGTGGAGTGAGCAGTAAGGAGAAGAATGAAAACACAGCTAAAAACAATGACAAAAGTTGTTTTCCGTTAGTTTCTTATCCCTTTTATATATACTTATAAAAAACAATAGAAATAAAGAGAGAGAAGGAAAGCAGAAAAACCCTACCTAATACAAGAGAGGAGAGGTAGTGAAGTACTTGTAGTGTAGTTACCTGATGTAATGCGTGTGTGTATGTGTGCGCGCGCGCCTATAACGCGCTTTCACATAGAATAAACCAACGATTGACTACACTAGTAATAGTAATAGATGAAATCTGCTCACTCAATCAATCAGTTAGCCACAGTCAGTGACTACTACTCAGCATTAAGTAAAAGATGCAAATATTAATAACTTATATATAACTACAGTGAATGAATACAGCACATGATTAACAAGAGAATAAAAGTAATTTAAAAAGAATATAACACAATTTAACCATTTGTTGTTCATTGTATACACCACGATGTCGCCGCCGCTGCGACTGATGGGAAACAACCACAAGATATATATATGATGAAATGGAAAATTCAAACAAGATGAAAATAAATTTTGTTTTAAAAAAGGGAATTCAAAAAAAACAGTAAAAACGGTGTGTGTGTGAGTGAGAGTGAATGTTTAGAAATACTTTCGTTTAATTGACTAACAACTGGTTACAGCTTTCTCATTATTATTATTATTATTGACAAGATTTAAATCGGCTAGGATAGACGAAAAATCAGATAAACGTTGATAATCTTCATCATCGTCGTCATCATCTTCTTCGACATAATCTAAATAAAGTTGTTATTATTATTATTGTTCTGTGATAAATCATTTTTGTATAACTTAATTTACGACTGTGCTTATTATTACTGACATTATCACAAAGTGATCTGTCCTCAATATCATAATCAGACTGGGAGATAATAGTTGCTAAATCGACAGAGTTCTGTTTCCAACCTTGAATACACTCAAGTTTAGGTGTTTTTTGATTTGGACTATTGGTTGACGATTTAGCCGACAATGGACGACTCTTATTATTATCCTCTGACTTCATTTGACTTAATAACCAATTGGGTACTTGTGATGATTTGTTGACTTGTGAACATTTTGACACCTGATAACAACCGGATAGGGCAGTACGATCCTGTGATGAAGAGAAAGAATTTTGATCATGGGGATTTGTGGTAGGAATAGTTGTAGTAGTAGTAGTAGTGCTACCACCCAAGTGAGAGATAGTAGCACACGCTGGTGGTACTGGTCTACACGGAAGATCTGCAACGGAATGAAGAGTACGCTGAGAATGATGATGATGACTGCATACATCTGTGTTGTTGACACTCATTTCTGTTCGTGATGATCGAGCGTTGTAATTACGTCGTTGTTTAGTGACTTCATTCGATGCACAATTAGCTGTTGTCAAATGAGGATCAAATTGTGTAAAGACTGGATTAGTCGTATATTGGGGTAGTTTAAGAGGACACGGAAGCATTTCAGGTATGACAGTTAGGTGAGTAACAAGTGCTTGCAGTGATGGCCATTCTTTGTCTAAACCCTGTAAATTACAGAATAAACAAGCAAATGAAGCATTAATTTTAAAACACACAGTAAAAATTTGTGAAAACCAGGGGTGTTTTGGACTGTTGTTCAGTTATAGCTACTTGGGTAGTACGCACCAACTGGGATTCAAACCCAGGACCTTCCAGTTACACGACAAGTTCACAGAACGTTTGGCCATTGGGACCCGACTATTTTTTATTTATTTATTCAAACACTGAAAAACTTGGTACAATATGGCACCAAGAAGGATGCGCCACACAATAATAATAAAACAGCATAGATCAAAAGTAAAAAAAGAATAAATAAGTGGAGAACGGATAAAGAACTTCATCTGAAAGGAAAACAGTCATATTTAACAAGCTCAAACAGTATTCGTTAACTATCATCGGGAAGGCAAGAAAGAAGGAAATCGCAACACATTCACCATTGATTACGATTCTTGGCCATATCCTAAAACGTTTCGCACTATCGATTCGAGCTATATCGCGGACCCCGACCAGGGAGTCGTGAAGCACCAACCGATGCTAATCTAGCGCAAAAATCCTTCATCCCACGATGACACGTCATGGACTGATCATCCCTCCGCCTTTTCCATCCCGTTCCAGGGCTAGCGAACAGAGACCTGTACGGAAGCCCCTTCTGGGATGACATTCACAGCACATGTCCAAGACACCGGAGCCGGTGTTTCCAGTGACGATACTCAATGAGTGGTGATCTCCACTGTGTTCAAACACACGCCGCCAAACCTCAGGATTACTTACGCAATGATACCATCGAACGCAAGTAATCCTGCAGAGACAGGGATGATCGAACACGCAGAGTCGCCGCACATCCTCAGCCTACTCGGAGAGGCCAGGTTTCACAGGCGTAGAGCAGGGTAGCCCGCACCGAAGCATTGTATGCCCGACCTTTGACAGCCAGACTAACGTCGCTCGACTAACTAACCTATGAATTCTACCTTCTCCCAATTTGTAATTTTAGTGTGACTACCAGCCAAGGTCATCGTTGAGTGTTTGTCCTAACACCCAGTGACTGAGTACTGCCCATTAGACTCAAACTAGAAAGAAACAGCTGTCCAGTACTCCATGCTGGCGCTTTCAGTGCTTCTCCGACTAATATCAAATCCATGACCAAACTTGAAATAAATCACATCCTTAAAATTTATGAAATAAACGTTTTTCTCAATTGATTTTTTTCGTTGTATTATTGTTAAATAGGGAGGCGCATTCGGATATAATAAATCCCAAGGCTTAATACACTTTATGTCGATTGAATTTTATCGATTAGGGCGTTGCTAAAATGAATTACCCTTTTTTGATAGTGGATTGTATTTAATAACAAATACCTGACGATCATTGTGCCGGCATTACGACATAGTGTGATACTGCATCGTGGGTCCATTTAACGTGACTATATATAACCAAATTGATCACTTGAATTTATCTTGCATACTGAGGCGGACACGAAAGTCACACTGGATCAATGAAAGACAACCCTTACTAGACAAAAAGGGATTTCGGCATAATATATATACCAACTCCACAGAAATTTAAATCACAAACAAGACAAATCTGATTGGCTGTATGCCAGTGAAATCCCCCGGAAATTTAAGCCATGAATAAACGAATTTTAAAAATGTCATCTAATAGGGTTATCGTGTAAGTACATGCATATATCATGACTTCAAGACTAACGCATAGACAGGCTTGCTTGTCCGTCCTAACATTTATTAATATGATTCCAAAATATAGTGAGTTTATCTGAGATAAAAGGACACAGCGACCACAATTGATTGAGCATAATCATAACATGGAACTCACACATAACTTAAACTCTACTACAATGCCCAATTACTTGAAAATTAATCTGTGCTCAATAGTGACTCGCCCTATTCAGGCAGTTAACCTGGGGTTCTAGTGGGAAGCCGTAACCAGTAGGGTACAGCAGGTCGAAGATGAGGCAGTAACTCATCGAAGAAGACATTGCGAAGTGGTCGCGCTATGTCGTGAATCGGCAGAAGTTAGAATTCATGGGCTGGCCATTGGATCGGGTCCCAATGGCTCAATGGTCTACGAGCTCGCCTTGTAACCAGAAGGTCCTGGGTTCGAATCCCGGTGGGTGCGTACTGCTGCAGAGTCCCAAACTAGGACGAAACAACTGTCCAGTACTCCTAGGTTTTCCAGTGGTTCTCTAACTGAAGTCAGCTCATGATTAAATCCTCCATGCAATTAACAGGGTCAGTCATTCCAGGTGTAGTTAAAATTTCATGTTCTAATAATCTAATCGACGTCATTTACAGTCATTACGCGGTATTTGGTAAATTATGTTATTTTCCTTAACTGGATCTGTTAGGTCCTTGAGCCGACAAAGTTTGTCTCTGAGAGAGAGAGGGTTGGTTGGTTAGTTTAAATGTCAACTTCATTCCATCCTCATTGAGAATTCTACATAAGGCCTCGGGTATTTCCTCTTTATAAAAAGCAGTACTACCAGGGGCTAGTGTGTCAGTGGGACAGCGGTAAGATGCTCGCCAACCAACCACGCGTGTGGTTCGGGGTTCGACTCCCGGCCACAGATGCACTCTTTTACCTCGCTAAGCCAGCAATAAGACTCGTAAAGAGGGGAAGGTTGGGTATGAAACTAGCAACCATATCCCGTGAAAGTAATAAACATCACTGCTACCGAAACTTCAAAGCTCTAGCTGGAAGCCCTATGTTCCAGTCGGAACATAAAGGAATAAATAAAACCAAAGGAGCTTTGAATTCTACATTGTTCTTGTCATTTTTATTGCTAATCTTGGTTTTCTATGGTTCTTTATACATTTTTGAATAAATTCTCGTGGGTAGTTATTCACCAGTAGTAATTCCTTCATTTGTTTGATTTCACTATTGAAATCTTCTGACTAAGTAGTTAGATTCCTGGCAGACATTTAACTAAACCTATCTTGACCGATTCTGGATGGCATGAATTAAAGTCTAAGTATGTTTTACAGTGTGTCGGTTTCCCTTAAATGATACTATCTAACCTATCACCTTTTCTTTGTTTTGTTTTGTTCCACAGTGTAGCATGGCCAACTCACCTTGTTCGTCTACTAACTCAGAAGTGAATCTGATTCCGTCTACTATTGAGCTCATATATGTGTGTGAAAAAGTTGGAGGATAATATGTTCAGATTTCAACACAGAGTGAACGTGTCATTCACATATCGCCACCATAACCTACCTACCTACCTAGGAGTAGGATAAAACGCACTAAGAGCTTTATGTTCCCAACTAACTAACTAACTGTCAATAAATATGAACCAAAAATGCCACAATGGCTGTATATGAACGTCATCAGTTTTTTTATTTAGTCTAGATCTTGATTTCATCTTTCGATCATTATTTAAAGAAAAGATAAAAGCCTATAATTAAGGTCAATGAAACAACGTAGTGAAGCTAATAATAATAATAATAATTACGAAATTCCTGATTTCATAATACAATAAGAAATAGGGGGTTAACAACACCACAATGAATATGAAACATGCAGCAGACAAAGCGTGTAGACTAGATCAAAGAAGTAAGAGAGAAGGCAAAAAAAACAAACAAACTCACCTTTAATCGAACACCTCTATTCGTTCTTTGTATTAAATAGTGTGTTATACCAATAGGATTATCCTTATTTGACACACGAACGGATAAAGCACAACAACCAGGATGAGTGGCGCTATTACGAACTAGAAAGCTACCAATCTGAAATAAATGTGACGATGAATAAGAATAAGAAGAAAAATAATGATGAGAATTAGGGAAGATGAAGTGGGAAAATTAAGGAAATTCCATTGCGGAATAATTTTTAATTTGATGATGAAACGCACAATGATATTGGATAATTGCCACTAAAGTGTTCTGAGGAAGTCTGTCTGCCAATTACTCCAAGAAAAATCCATTGAGAGGAAATATATCATACACGATACATGTATTCATCAGAGTGATTGTAAGTTGAGAACCATTGGTATTCCTGAAACTTGACCTATATGTCTACAAAGAATCTGTCCGTTGAACTTCAATTACCCTAGTGACTCATGCCTTAGCAACTTGGTTTTTTCCCCGTTTGACTTCCATAAGAGATAATTATTTGATTTGTTTGGAGGATTTCATCATTAGATGACATCAGTTAGAGAATCATTGGAAAACCAAATAGGAGTACAGGACAGCTATTTTATCAGTACCCACCCACCACAGGGGTTCGAACACAGGGCTTTCTGGTTACAAGGAGAGTTTGGAGATCATTAAGCCACTGGGACCCGATTCAATGACTTAATTGTCTCCAAGTCCTCCTTGTAACCAGAAGTCCCTAGGTTCGACCCCCCTGTGGTGGGTGGGTACTGATGAAAAGTCTCAAACTAGGCTGATGAAGCAGCTTTCCAGTACTCCCAGTTGGTTTTCCAATGGTTCTTTAACTGATTTCAGCTCATGATGAAATCCTTCAACCAATCAAACAAAATCCCTACAAAATCAATACTTGAAAATAATTATTTCCCTTGACTTCCTGAGTTCTACTCAACATATTACACCATCACAACCTTTTTATTTGATCACTTGCACAGAAAATTTTGATCTTCTCCTGTCCAACTACGTATTTGTTAATAATTTTTGTTACTGCCGTAACAACAAATTCGTCAGTTAGTTTTTCGAAGAACTTCTCTCTAACAAGATATATATATATATATATATATGATGTGTCATTTCACTATAACGCTCTTACAAAATGCCTGTTGATAGACAAAAGTATGTTAAATTTGTACACTGACTTAGTTTATTGAAGATTACAGATTGTATGCAGATGATAAGGACAAACGGAATAAAATGGATCCATGTTATTTTGTACCAATATCTATTCTTTTTCTGTTCAAATTTATAAAAGCGAATTCTTCCATAGCAATGCTGACTCTGCTATCCAACCTACCCTTAAAAATTATCAGACAAAAGTACCTAGGGAATAAGTATAGTACTATACCTAGCGCAACGAAAGGATTTCCTCTTTTAGCATCCTATAGCAATACTTATCCCCACAAGGTTGTAATGCCTTATTGTTATACTCTACCCATCCGCCCACACACCCACACAAGTCTTCATGGAACTCACTCATCATAAAGGTAGGTAGGATTTGATTTTGAATAACCTTCCCTAGCGTTCCCCTGTATATCTGGTTGGTTCTTGAAGGTCGAATTTCGACAGACCTTCGACTTTGGCTATGATGCCTTAACTTTGCCGGAAGTGATTTTCAATTATTTGCCTTGTATTGTTCATCCTCCTTAGGTGAAGTTAAATACGTGAGTAGCTTATGCAGCTTTGTATATGAAACACAAGAGTGCGACTTATATATCAATTTGACTTTTTAGGCCTTCAATCGACTACTCTTGGTTCGAATCTATTATGTATCAGTAGCTAATTCATATTATCTCGTTGGTAGCTGATATGAGAGAGTGGACTCGAACGTGGGTAATAACATCAATGACTCAGGTGATATGAGGTAAATACACCTATTCGTTCCACTGAGCCACGTAAATGTCAAGACACAAGACTTGTCTGTAACTGTTAGGAAATAATATTTACAAAGAAAGAAGCACATAATGTTTAGATATATATTTAACCATATTAAAATCTGTCTAACGCAGTGGAAAACAGATTTTCCTGATTGGTAGGAGATTCGGCTAGAACCTAAGGAAAACGAGTATTCTGATTGGTAGACAGTCGGACCAGGAACAAGGTAAGGAAAAGACGACCAAATTTTACAGCCAGTCAAGGTCGTCTGATCGCATCATAGGATAAACCACAAGATGACTACTGCTTTAGTTACAGGATTTCATCATGAGCTGGCAACAGGTAGAGAACCATTGGAAAACCAACTGGGAGTACTGGAAAGCTGCTTCGTCAGCCTAGTTTGGGACTCTTCATCAGTACGAACCCACCGCCAGGGAGTCGAACCCAGGACCTTCTGGTTGCAAGGCAAGGTCGTAGACCATTTAGCCACTGGGGCCAAATCCAATGGGCAGCCCATGAATTCTAACTTCTGTCAATTCACGACATAGCGCAACCGCTAGCCAATGTCTTTGGCGAGTATTTGTCCTTACACCCGACGTGCTGCACTCTACTGGTCATCACTTGTCATTAGAACCACAGGTAACTACCTACCTGAATAGGGCCAGTCACCAGTGACCATCCATTGATATTCGAGTATTGTACGAGCTCGCCTTGTAACCAGAAGGTCCAGAGTTCGAACCCCAGTGGGTGCGTACTGTGAAGAGTCCCAAAATAGGACGAAACAGCTGTCCAGTACTCCTTGTTGGTTTTCCAATGGTTCTCTAACTGATATCAGCTCATGATGAAGTCCTGTAACCAATCATACAAAATCCTTACAAACCAATATTTGATTACTGCTTTAAACCGATTGCAATCACGATGAATTCCAGTTTTTTTATTCCTCTGGTTCCGAGTGGGATACATATGACTTCAAACGTCGAAACGCTATTAGAGATGGTATATAAGGGCGAATTGCTAGCCTCACACCATCTTAACATTCTTTCATTTTCCGCGCTCACTACGGGCTATTTAAAAAGTGGGTAAGGTTGGCCCGGAAATATTTCATCTTGAAAATTACTGAGAATACTGGTTGCCTGCTTGAACTTTGGGTTACTGAAATGCCACACCACCTTTCATAAAACCATAATATCGCTTCGATTTGCTCCGAAGTATATTATTACAATATGTTCACATATGCTGAAAGTTTCATTTGGCATAAACATTAATGCCCAAAATAAACAGATGCATGAAATATCCCCACTTATGATAATTTCCTTTCAGAATGTGCAGAGTCAGGTAACACCACCCACACACTTCTAAAAGCACACGAAGCCCTACTGAGCATCACTCTTCCTTACTCACATCACCTTACTCATCTTGCTTCTCTACTACAGTTGGCACCATTCTGCATGCTAGTGAGTCATCTTCCCTTCACTCTGTGTCCACAAACAACGGTGAGGGCCATAGAAACACCCCAGATAGTCTTTGAAAGCCACGTCGCCAACTTCATATAGGAGCATTTAACGTCAGGACCTTCTAACAAATCGGACAACAGGCATCACTAGCAAGAGATCTGGTATCTCGAACGACGGATGTATGTTGTGTTTCGGAGACATGCATACAACACCGAGTGTGATCATTCACTCAACAAGGTGAATCTGCAAAATTCACTTTAAGGGTGTCAGGAGACCCCTCAGCTAGCTCGCGAGGACTTGCAGGTGTAGGGATAGCACTGAGTGTTACGGCGGAAAAATCACTTCTTGACTGGATCCCAGTGGATGAGAATATGTGTGCGTTCTGTCTAAATGGGTTCGTCGTTGCCTTTTCGTAGTCTCCGCTTACGCCCCAACAGACTGCAGTTCGGATGAACTAAAGGATGACTTCTACCTGAAACTGTCTAATTTGCTGCAAAAGGCGAACCGTTCAGATATAGTTGTTTTAGCAGGCGACTTCAATGCCCAAGTAGGAAAGTTGTGCCAGACTGAGAAGTATGTAGGTGGTACGTATGGAGTTCCCTGACGACGAACCGACAACGGTGACCATCTTCTACAGTTTTGCTCAGATAATCATCTATTCCTAGTCAGCACTAAGTTTAGGTGCAAAGAGAGACGTTGTGTAACCTGGCGACCTTCATCACCAAATCAACGCTGGACGCAAATAGACCACATAGTGATAGGGTATCGTTGGCGAGGGTCAGTAGAAAACTGTCGCTCTTTCTGGAACACGTGCATCCACTCCCTGTGACTTATGATTTCCAATGAAACTATATTGTTCATCGTTATTACTATTCCTTTGTCTCACACCTCTGTTTACTGTCTCTATTATGCATTTCTTCTACTTCTTTGTGTGATACATGGAGGGTGGCGACTTGAATTGCTGCACATCGGTGCAAAGTTCTGTGTCGAAAACAGACAGACAGACAGAACACAGAAATTAAAAAGTTTAAGAATATATGAAAATTAAAGGAACACGTAATGGTAAGACTGTAACAAGAAGCATGTTGATCAAACACGCCTGCTAATATCACCAGTGCCAATATACAAACATACACTTAGTATTTTGAAAGATAACTTAAAAATGGCTAACCAGAACGTCTCATCAGAAAATCCATGAAGCTTAAACCAATAAAACCACCCACAATTTCTCCTCCCAAAAGACGTCTCCACTCGAATCTACAGTTCAATAGGGACTCATTGGCAGATATATTGAGAAACCACCCATTTAAGAAAACCTTTTTCGCCAATGAACTTCGACTAACCTTCTCTATGAAACCAATAATTCAAATGAACGTGAAGAATAAGCATCTTTCAATTCACCTGTTCGTGTGCAGCTGGGTATGCAAGTAGGTCCGTACCTAGCGTTTGCTACCCAAACTTGTCATCAAAGACCTAACCTCACGGTTTTATGAAGGAGAGAAATCATCCCCCCCCCCGCCACAACCCCATCCTGGAACACCTGATCAAATCTGGACACCAAGCTAACCCAAAAACCAACTTCAGAGTAATCTATAGAATACATGGAAATCTCGCTACAGGAGTATGCATCAAACTTCTTCAGACAACTGAAGCGATAAAAATTAATCACATGTGAAATCCCGAACTCCGCATACAAAAGAAGTTTGTTCAGTAACTAAATCTACAATGGACATAATCTGTCTTAACACTGGGTGCATAATCTTTGTTTTTCGTTGTATTATTTACTCCCCTCATTCCCTATCAAATTCCTACTCCCTATTACCAGGTGAACATAGACAGGACGGAGGTAATGGAAATAACCAACCAACCAACAACAACAGCAACATTCAGAGCCAATCACTATCAACGAGAGGGATTTGAAACAGGTTACTTCATTCACTTATCTAGCTAGGGAGCATTGTCTCAACTACAGGAAGTCGGAACGGACGAGGGATGTCAAATTGAGCGAGAATCGGGAAGGCGAGAAACACATTCATTAACCTGAAACCAATCTGGAAATCTTCGTCACTCAGCCAGCATCAACAACAAAATTCGGTCGGATTTTCAATACAAACGTCAAGTCAGTCAGTTTTTCTATATGGATCAGAAACTTGGCTGGTGGCCACAAAGAATATTTCCAACAGCCTGCTGCAGCCTTCATCAACCAACAACTGTCTTCGCTGGCTCTATACTGAAGATCAGATGGCCGGGCCGGAAAGAATCACCAACAAGAAACTATGGCTGGGAATAAACAAAACAAGAACCAATCGCCAACCAACAAATATGCAGGAGAAAGTGCAGATGGATGGATTGGACACTCGCTGGTTGAGGAGGCCGCTGGGTGACATCGCGCGCGTCAGGCCATTTCTCGAGTGGAACCAGGCCGAAAGGGAAGCGGCGAGTGGGTCGTCGGTGGAAGGGTGACATGGAGGAGATCGTGTGAAGAGTTGAAACAGTATGGACTAACATGGATTTAGGTGAAAAGTACAGAAGAAGACAGAAGCAAGTGGAGACGTGAAGTTGAAGCCCTATGTTCCACTAGGAACCCAAGGGAACAACAATAATAATAATTACCAGTGTTGTTAACTTGACTCTCATCAAACTTTAGTTGAATTCCACTCAATTCCATCAATTATAATGTACCACTCAGTTTACTTATTTAATTTGATTTTAGTTTCTAGCCAGACGACGCTCTTCATGTTTCGTAATTTGTTATCCAAAATTTACAATTCTAATGAAACAAACCTCTCAAAACATTGCTTTTTTTGTTAAGAAGGAAAACTACTATATAAATGCGAGTGTACAGATAGCTAGGTAGCATAGTATTTCTGAACGTCATTCCTTTCAGATAACTTCGAGTATCACTTAAATAATAATAGTAAACCATTACCTCTTCTCTGGCAAGTAATTCAAATGCTATTTCTCTTGGTAACAGAGCTTGATACCATGGCGCTTGACTGAGTGAGTAGTTATCACCATTATCGATAGTAGTAAAACAACCATGCGGCGACTGTGAAGGTTGTTCTGGAGTTGGTGTAGGCGTAGCAGTTGGAGTTGGTGTTTCTGTTGACAATGATGATGTTGACATTATAGATCCTGGTGTTGGTGTAGTCTGAAGATTATCACATCGACTAGAGGGGAAAGTTTGTTTTTTATGCGGTTCTTGGAAAGAGTGAATTCCAGAATCTGCTATAACATGAAGTGGATCATTAAAAGGTGAACTAGTGAAATTCTCATTGGGTCTGTATACATGACAATTCGCCTGATGAATATCATTTTTGGTATATCTGGTGAGATTTTTGAAGGGATACTGCGACTGAGACTGCGCAGCGGTTTCTCCATGAAGATATGAATTTTCAGAAGAGTATTGTATACCGCCAGTAAAATCTGATGGTGCAAACGTTTGTTGAACTGGTTTGTACATGTTAGGTTGAGGAGTCCTTGTTGACAGGTAAAAATGCAACAACAAAAAATGCAAGAGTATAAATGAGAAAGAAAAACTACGTCAATAATAAAATATTAAAAAAATCACCAATCAAAAATGTGTGAATAAGTAATACCGAGGAGGTAATAGAATGAGCTTAACAAACATCAAGATCAAATGGATCAGGCTTGCAATCCATCTTTTTGAATCAGACTACGGGTGAGAAAAGTTACGTTTATCTACTGAATGATAACGGCTGAAAGCACAACAGACCAATTAATAATGCTTTATGCAAAATGAAGTATAACCCACTAAAGCAGCAATAAACAACAACCATGAAAAATTGTGGCAAGTAATTATACTACTTATAAGTAGTATAAAATAAATGGTAAAAAGCACACTTCTCGTTGCATTGACTGATAATAGGTAATAATTCACACCGAATACGCGCTTACTACACAGATCTAGACACTGGAAATGTATTTAGCACTTACTTATAAGTTCCTAATAAACATTTAGATTGATAAAGACACCTATCGAAGTACATCGATATAATAACGGGGGCCTGCTCAAATCACTGGGCTACCAGTGTTTCCATCAATCAAAACGCAGTGGCTATCAATTTTTGGACGATACATCATGAAATGAAAATAATTTATGTTTGTAACGGCAGACGATAAGAGAAGTGGTAACGGACCAAAATTATTAAGAAAAAATGCATCGTATATAGACATTTTTAACCACATTTAAAGTCGTCAGCTAGGTTAGCGAAAAATCCGCGACCAAATAATGGAACGCGAAAAGTTGCCTTCAATGAGATTTGCTGAAGACCACACAACGTAAACTAAATCCAGATTAGAGGAATAAACACTCTTACTTCCCACCCACACCTTAAAATATTGATTTCAATTGCATCTATGTAGAACAGGCCGTATATTTACTGTGACTACTGTCACAACTCCATGTCCATTTATACTTCCACAACCAATACACAAGAGAAAAAGAACCCGTACAGTAAGTGTTAACAGCTTGTGATAAACCACTATGTCAGTTGTTTTGAAAGGCAATAACAATGTACATCCTAATATCTTAGTAACATTCATACATACAACACACTTTCACAAAAAGCAAAGATGAATCCTTTTATTGGTCGGTATGCTTATACTTCAAGTAATCTGGTAGAGAGTTAACAGCCGTGGAATCCGGGTTGCACACTTCGTCCTACTTGGAACTCGTCATCTGGACGTACTTGCACTCCCCAGAGAGTGATGGTATGCCCACCAAAGTACGAACACAGTACCCATCGTTTCAAACCCCAAAACATTATCCACTAGACCAGCCGGGACACGAGAGCCACCTCATTGAGCAAAGGGTATCAGTTATTATCGAATTTAATTTGGACTATATCACGTCGATAGACTGGACCAAAGTGTTCGGCCTCTATTGACATATTGGCTTCTTGTAAGGATGCTTCGACGACGTCTGAGGATTGAAACTGAAGTAATTCGCGTGCATCTAGACGACAGGTCTTGAATACGACGAAATGCACATCCTGAATTTTCTACAGTTTGGTTTGTAAGGGTTAATTTTGTTTACAGAACTATAGAAAGTAAATCTGATGCTCGCTAGTGACTTGCTACAGGATGGAGTTTCCTGGAGGTCTAGTGAGAAGTCATGACCAGTGAGGTACCCTGTCATACACCAGCTAACATCACGTCTGTTCAGTTTTTTAGAAGTCACCCCCATTGGTATGTAGGGCCTCTCAACTGTTGTGAAACTATCCGATTAAACTATGATCAGAGTTCGTAAAAATAAAACTACATACTACTGATTAATTGGGATGAGTAGTTGTATGTACCATTCACATATCGCCTACCAGTGCTTACTAGCTAGCCAGTCAGATTGATGTGATCTAAAACACCGGCAGCCGTTCACACTCTTTTGGAGTCAAGTGCATCAACCATTTTGCATATATTGTGAATTTGATTCGCATGAATAATGAAAAACAATTAGTCACTTTGATAAATTTGAATAAGGCATTTAGAAGACAAATTTCGCCGAGAGATGATATCATTTTGTAGTTTCTTTACAACCGCTTTACAACAACTAACATGGTTAACAATGATAAAATAAAGTTCATGACAATTACTCAGTTAAATAAAAAAAAAGTACATACGCATGACCTATTTAAATATGATTGGTCATTAGTATGTACTTTTGTTTTTTATTTAACTGAGTAATTGCCATGAACTTTATTTTATTATTGTTAACCATGTTAGTTGTTGTAAAGCGGTTGTAAAGAAACTACAAAATGATGATATCATCTCTCGGCAAAATTTGTCTTCTAAACGCCTTATTCATATGGATAAGTCTTTTTTATCATTATCCTTTTTAATAATAATAAGGGGAATCACAGTTTCTTTTCAGTGAAGAAATATTCCTCTTCGTCCGACTGTATTTTCAACCTGTAGTCAGTCGTATTGATGTCACGGAAAAAAGGCATTAAGTGGTACCAAGAATTGTTCAGTCAATATACATACATAAAGACGATTAACATGATTTTCAAGGGGATAGAATTGAAGTGGATGAATTCCAAAACTTCTGAAGATTATTAAAATAGCAGGCCGAGTGTTGTTTAAAAAAAAACAAGAGTACGACGATGATAACAATAAAGACGGTGAAGGTAAAATGAAGTGGAATGAATTCAAATGATAAAATAGAACAAAATAAAAAAAACATTACTTTGACCAAGGTAAAGAAAGTGGTTTGAAAAAAAAACAACGCTTTTGAATGCACAGTTTCGGTGTTTGTCCAGGTATAAACAGAGATTCTGCCGCTAAACATAAGTGGAGAAAACGTAAACTTTTAGAGTGACTGGATTTGGCTCTGTAAATAACTCTAAAGGACAAATCACATGAGGCTAAATGAACTGACTCAGGAAGGTATTCAAAAAAGGGAAGACTTTGAATTACTGATATTAGACACATTACACTAGTTACTAACTGGCGTCCAATCAAAATAGAGAGACTTCGCCATCCTACACTTACCCTTCATCAAACAAACAGAGTAGTATTCAGAGCTAAGGGTTTCCCTAAGAATACGCTAACTTACAACATCCAAAGTAATCAGCTCCACAGAAGAACATGTAGTAGAAAAGGTGTACATAGAGGTTGTTCACTTAATTTTAAAATCTTAATACCAATTCACCTCTATACTAATCTTTTAAGAACTTTGTAATTCACCCACTTCAACTTTATCCCCTTAAAAATCACGTCAGATATCTTTAGTCTTACCATATGTATATTTGTGACGTGTGCATATGACGAGATTTCTCAGTAGTATACAAAGAGACGTTCATCAACACAAAGAATATCAAATAGCAGAGAGATTTATGTGAAAGAGAGGGAACAAACCGGTATTGTGGCGAAACATAGAATATATAATGTCCCTATATGTGTGTATCAAATTACGAATAAACATTCCGTTATCAACCAAGCTTGTGTTCTTCCGCTACTTTTGGTGTCGCTGCCTCCGAACAAATGAAGATCCAATGCTACGCAGCTCTCGAAGAACGAGACATACGGAGCTCCTTGCGGGACTTGAGGCCGTTGTGGAGATCGGACGGCGAAGGCGATCGTGGTGGGGAGGCTGCTAAAAGGACGGGTAAAGGCGGCCTACGATATCGTGGAGAGGACAGGTGGGCTAGACGGTTAGTGGCGGAATTTGACAGCCCAAAGGACAGACAACTGACAATGCAGCAGTTCCGAACCACGAAGCTAGAACCTGAAGAAGGCCCGTTAGTGTTGGCGCTGAAGCTGATGAATCTACTTCATCGCACACTGCTCGCATTGTATGAAGAGTCAAAGTCACAGTTATTGACTTCCCAGTGTTCCAGACCACATATCTCAGTAACTACAATTGGGCAACACTGAACAACCCATAAACATTGTTGAGCTAGCACAGTTGACCAGATAGCTGTTGAGCATAGGGCTAGCCTCAACAGAGCCACCGAAAATGAACCGGTGTGAACAAGAAATTGCAGGAAGCAAAGGCGCTAAGAATGAACGTCCGAAGAGATAAATGCTTTGAATGTGACAAAAAACTCGACACTGAAGGAAATACTGCTCAGAAATGCGTGTTTTCTCCCTTTGCAGTAGGACTAGAAGTAATAGCTGGGATCGAGAGGGGGGCAATGTATCCCAGGTGGTGAGTAAATGATCAAGATGGTGTATGTTTAATAGATGTGTAGGTGGCAGTCTCACTTGGAGATGCGAATCGATTTCAAAATGTCAGACAGTGTTCAAAGGTAGTTCAGACAGTAGAAGGCTGGCTATGGAGTAAAATTCACAAGCATGTGTCCGACTATAACGTTTACATTGGGGGTTGCAAAGTAGCATTTTCATTCATTGTTGTGTACCTCAGCTACGGCAAACTATCCTGGTAACGACACCAAATGTAACGGAAAAACACAAGCATGGTTAGTAACGGAATGATTCTTTGGAATTCGATATGCGCATATAGGGAAATTATGTATACTGCGTATTAACTGTCATCTGCGCAGATCTTCTGTGTCGTGTTACTTCTGCCCTTTAGATTGTATTTCCCACTTTTAACCACAATAGTGCTACTACTATACGGATCAGAGACTCAGCATGTCATAAAGAGCATCTCAAACAAACTTCAGACCTTCATTAACAGTTGTCTTCGCTCAATACTCAAGATCAGATGGCCAGAAAAGATCAGCAATAGGGATCTCTGGCAGTGAGCAAACCAACCAGGAACCGATTGTGAAACAAATAGTCAGGAAGAAATGGAGGTGGATTGGCCATACTCCGAAGAGAGCATAAAGTGACATCACACGACAGGCCATGGCTCGAGTGGAATCCGAAAGGGAAGCGGCGAGTTGGTCGTCAGTATGATGGTGACTTAGGGGAGGTGATGTGGAGAGGAGATGAAAGCATGTGGGCAGACTTTGAGCGGGGTGAAAAAGTTAGCAGTAAACAGAAGGCAATGGAGACGTGCGCTGGCGGAAGCCCTATGTTCCTTTAGGAACTAAAGGATATAATAATAATAACCACAATAGTAGTTCATTTCCCCTCTTTGACGTCAAATCTATCTCTCCGCTATTTGATATTGTTTGTGCCGATGACCGTCTCTTTATGTACACCGATAAATCTTGACAGGGGCACACGCTCATAATGACAGGGTAATTTTAGTCCCATTTAGTGCCTCTTTCTTGTACAACTTGCAAATTATTATTATTATATCCTTTAATTCCTAAGGAACATAGGGCTTCAGCTACGCATCTCCATCGCCTTCTGTTTTCTGCTAACTTTTTCACCCCGCTCCAAGTCTGCCCACATGCTTTCATCTCCTCTTCACATGACTTCCTCCAAGTCGCCCTTCCACTGATGACCAACTCGCTGCTTCCCTTTTGGGTTCCACTCGAGCGATGGCTTGTCTAGTGATGTCACTTGGTGGTTTCCTCAGAGTATGGCCAATCCACCTCCATTTCTTCCTGCCTATTTGTTTCACAATCGGTTCCTGGTTGGTTCACTCTTCGCCAGAGATCCCTATTGCTGTTCTTTTCTGGCCATCTGATCTTGAGTATTGAGCGAAGACAACTGTTAATGAAGGTCTGAAGTTTGTTGGAGATGCTGTGTTTTCTCCCCTATAAATGAAAAAAAACGGAAGGTTTCATTCGTGATATTGTAACATCAGAAGACAAAGGCCGCGCAACAGATCATCTGTATGCTAACTGTATCCGCCTGCGCCAAAATCTGCTGTGGTTGGTTGTTGAATCAGTCTTTGTTTATATTTTTCCCACGACCAATATTGGGGACACAAACATTGACGTAAAATACTGTCTACCAGCTCTCACCACAATATCCGTTTTAATAAAATACGAAAAGAAACAACTTTCAAAAGACAATTTAAATAATTAATGTTAGTTACTTCGCCTACCTTAAATTCTCCACAATTTGTTGATGTTTGAAATGATTTGAATGACAAGGCACATCAGGATTACCAGTGAATAGATTATTATTATTAGTAGTATCTCTATAGGATGACAGAAACTGTGTCTCTTGATGCTTTTTTGATGACTGAATTTCTTTTGGACTATTATTATTATAATTATTTGAGTCATATGAAGCTGCTTTCATTACAGCTTCTATTGACTCGACAATTTCACGATCTTCATCCTTGTCTAATTCATAGCATATACCACCACCTTCTTGTGGTGCTTGGCTGGAAGATGATAAATTAGGCGAAAAATTCTTTGAATTATTAAAGTGTTCATGACCACGTCGAAGTGAATGCATTCTATATAGGGAAAGAGAACACAAAACAGTGTTGATGAATTATCAGCTGGTTGTACTGCTCAAGTGTTTTGCACCGTCTATCTGTCTCTGTCTGTTTTCAACATAGAACTTTGCACCGATGCGCGGCAGTTCAAGTTGCCACACTCAATGTAGCACATAAAGCAAGAGAAGAAAGTAGAAGAAATGCATAATAGAGACAGTAAACAGAGGTGTTAGACAAAGAAATAGAAGTAACGAAGAAAAATGTAGTTTCATTGGAAATCATCAGTCACAAGGAGTGGATGCATCTGTGCTAGTCATAGAGAACGATTTTGAGCCATATCACCAATTGTTTCCAACCATTGGTTTTTACCGTCCCGAGGACCCCAACCGGGAAGTCTACATGTTCCTACGTGGCTTAGACTAACTGTTGTGGATTTCATTGACTGATGAAGCCATGTTTTGGTTTGACCGCCACTAGCTCTTTTCCTGTCTGACCCTATATCAGCTAACATTCCTCACTGTCGAGGAAGGTGATGACCATGCATGCCTAACACATGTCCTAACCATCTCAGTCGATGTAATTTCACAACCTCGTCGATTGATTCCCCCCTCTCCTTACCTAGAACTCAACGCCTTACCTCAATATTGCTCACCCGATTATACCACCTCACACGGGAGATAGAGCGCACGCACCTATGATCGAAGACAGCTAACTGGGCTTTTCATGTCTTTCACTCTCATTGACCAGGTCTTACAGTCATAAAGGAGGACGGAGCGAACTGCTGAGCAGTACACCCGCCCTTTGGTTGATAGTCGGATATCACGTCTACGCCAGAGACGGCGTAAACTGGCATATGTGAAACTAGCCCTCTGTATCCGTGCGGAGATTTCGTCAGAGATCAACCCGTGGGGGCTGATGGTACTTCCTAGATAAGTGAAGCGGTGAACGCGCTCTACCACTTCCTTTCCTATTTCTAAACTAGGAGTCAGTGTAGTCCAGTTCTGTAACACCGTCTAAGTGCAAAGTACTGTTAAAAGTTTGATTGGTAGGAGTCTGTGACTGCACTCTTACAGGTGAACCGCTTGAAGTTGTCGACAAGTTCATACATCTCTAGGTAGTTGTGTGAGGTGCTGGCGAGGATGTGACGGATGGGATTCCTATCTATATAGTGAAAGCTAAGGTGGCATATGCAAATCTGAGCCACCTCTGGCGTCGTAGTAGCGTCAGTCTGCCTGTCAACAATCGATTCTAGTCTTCATAATGTGTTCCTTTCACGTCTCCCATGTATCGCCCCAATGTTGTATCATCTGCTTTCTCTGACATCAAATCTACCTACCTGCCTTTTGATGTTTTTATGGAGACGAACATCTCCTCACATATAGATACTACTGGTAAATCTCGTGCGTTGGTGGCACCGTGGTAGAATGATCGTCAACCACGCGCATGTGGTCCGAGGTTCGATCCCCGGCCGACCCACTCCTTTACCTCGCTAAGCCAGTAATAAGACTGGTAAAGAGGGAAGGTAGGACATGACGCTAGCAACCCCATCCTGGTAGAAATAAACACCGCTGCTACCGAAACTTCTAAGCTTTAGCTTGAAGCTTTATGTCCCACTGAGAACGTAAAGGAATGAAAAGAAAGAAAAACTGATAAATTTTATCAGTAGCACATGTAACACTACAACCAAGAAGTGAAACAGACAAAGAGAACCACAATGATTAGAAGCATTTCAAGGAAGTATTACTTTAAAAAAATAAATATTAACTTGGTGGATCGAATTTTACTAATAATAAGAACTTGAACCGTAATCCTACTGATTATTAGGAAGTAATCAGTCGATGCTAATACTTCACTTTTACGTGGACGTAATCACGACAATGGATGAATAGTCCAGTGCTGTTTGCAGAGGTGAAGAACCAGTCACATACCTGAGTCTTTGAGACAACACACAAGTTGTGATGGGTATAAAAAAGTGCGGAAACCATAAGTAGAACGTCTTATCGACAAATATGAATATATACTGGTACACATAAATATTCTATTATTGAACACTAGGCAGTAAGTACCTAGTGTCATGCATTTCTGGACCGTTGTCTGGTGTCAACTGAATTCTGTCGGTCAAGTTTGCAATGTGTTCACCACCATCCCGGGTGGCTCACCAGCAAAGGTAGGTGCGCTCTGAATTATTATTACTAGATAGTTGAAGACAATCTGCAGGAAGCCTTGTTCGACGTAAGTTTTATGCTTGTTGACACTCTGATTGCAGCACTTACTGGTACGGGTAGAATCTCAGAGGGGAGAGAGAGAGTTTCCATTGACGATTGCAGATATATCTTGTTGACTGGTGGGGAGTGCCAACAACAAGCACGAAACTCAGGCCAAGGAAGACTTCCCGCCGATTGCCCCTAACCATCTAATAATATATTTATATACATATATATGAATCACAAAAATAGGAGGCATTTCATACACTCACACTCTAGGCAAAACACATATCCAGACAGATATTATCATACATTAGCTGTACACAAATAAATAAGAACTTTATTATTGTTATTACCAGCAATACATTGATGATGAATATGAATTAATTAAACAATAATCATCTTAGCCAGACAACATATTGATTGAGGCAATTACAGCAAAGATGCATGATAAGCACACAAGGGGGAATGAAGAAATGAGAAAAGAAAAGTCAAAAAACGCCTAGCCAGGAATGGGTGGATGGATGGCTGGCTAGGTGGGTTAATTAATTCATTATCTGGTGCTAGAGAGTATTAGTCATAATGTAACAACACCCTAAAAGTCAACACCAACAAATAGGGTAAATACGAAATGTATCAAGAGGAAAATACTCCCATTAAGAAATAACAATCTAGTTAAGAATTCCATCGTAAATCAAGAACTAAATGAATAGTATTATCATATCGTCATTACTTTTTATTGGGGGCTTTTACTTATTATCTATTAAAATTTCCACGGAATAAACCACATGAATCATAATATTTAATTGGTGGATGGGGACTAGCAGTGGAATCCAGGATGCGCATTTCGTCAACTGGATGCACCTGCCTTTCTCAGTGAGTGATGATGTTCCCATCATATGAATCATAGTCGAATTTGTTGCAAAAATACATGAAAACTAGTTTTAAACTACCGATAATTACTCAGTCGTTATCAGTTGTTTTATTGCATATCCCTGCTAATTGTAGCGCCATATCCCGTTGCTATGGTGCTTAAATGACAAGTTACATCTTTTGTGTGCTTTTAAACGAAATTTTGCATTCAAAAAATTTTTTTCTAGTGTACATATTGTTGGTGGCATCATATTCTAGAACTGCATTACATCGGCTGAACTTTCCTCATAAATTTGGCTTGATGATGATATCTGAGCAATGTTGCCATGGATTACAAGAAGCAGTAGATTTAAAAGTTAAACGTGAATTATTGAATTTTCTAGTTCATGAAAAATCTCCATTCGAATAATAATGGAGAGAAGACCAGTAGTTCAGTGAAGAGTCTCTTTTCACAACTGTAAAATCGCCATATATATATATATATATATATATATATATATATATATATGGTTATTTTGTGTGTGTTCGTTAACTTGGTCAAACGGAAATACAATTAGCAAATTTTTGGTGGAGTTACGTAATACACAAAGGAATCAGAGAAATTGGATGTTGATATAAGAGAGTAGTAACAAAAGTGATGAATTGTCACAAACGATTGTTAAAGAAGAGTTACGTAACAACATGAATAGTTTGATGAAAAGTTGTGCTCAGGTGAGAACATGGAAACAAAATAAAACACGGGATTACGTGAGAGTTTTAAACGAATACAAGAGTCTTAAGTAGTTAGAAAAACAAATAAACAAGCAAAAGTTAAGTCAGACCAACAGAGTTGTTACCATGCTAGTAGAAGTGGCTGAATAATTTTCTTAACCCGTAACTACACAAACTGACAAGTTTTCCAGTAATTATAATCCTGATTATTACGCATTGGAATTTTTAATTTGACGGGAAATATTTCTCGAACTTTCTCACACATTTAATATAATTACACAAATGTGCATTTTAGTTGATGACTTCGTCGAAGAGAAAATTTTCTCCGCTGCAACCGCCTTTTTAACAATTTTCTCCTGTATGCATAATCCTGTTCTTCTAACTGAATGGCTAGGGCTTCTGTAATACAAAGAAAACGGAAATGTATTGCTCTTGGTACGTTGATCTTCACTTTGTAGATCACTTTGAAGGAGTAGGCGTTTGTTGCGATGGAATGATAAGTAGTGACGAGATGCCGCACTCCCTATACAGTCACTATTTACTTTCTACAGCCAAGCTGCATAGTGTTCCTTGACCCTTTTTGACAGGATGCGCATAGAACGACCGATGTACCAGGTGCCAAAGCAACAGGTGAACTGATATGTACACATAAATGTGTTCAGGTTTGGGATCTTGTTCTTTGGGCTTCTGCAGATCAGCGGGCGAATGGAGTACACTACTCAATGTTGGCACGAAGAAAGTTCTTCTTAAACAAGTGGAAATTCTCCTCTTAAGGATATCACTGAGCAGGCCACCTGTGAAGTTGAGATTCATATAAAGTATGAATATTTGCTGCAGAATTCCAATATTTTAAGATTGCTTGCGCTATTGACAATGATTTTGAGACATATCACCAATTGTATCCAGGCATTGGTTCTTACAATCCTGAGGACCCCAACCAAACAGTGCGCACCTCCCCAAGTGACTGGCGGCTCCAACTAACTGTTAATGATTTCACAGACTGACCCGCAAGTTTTGGTTCGACCAGCAACCAGCTCTTGCCAAACCTAACCTAACGACGTCAGCTAACATTCCTTTTTGAGGAAGGCGATGGGTAGGGATGCGTAACACATGTCCTAATCAGCTCAGTAGATGTAGCTTCACAATCTTATCGATCGACTTCCTATTCGACGCATAACTTCAATATTGCTCACCATATTATACAACTCACTTAACAAAGGAGAGAAGGCA